GGGCGAGGTGCTGGCCCCGCCCCCCCCTTCCCGTTCTGTAAGGTGTCTGGAGGGAGCAGGAGCATCGCAGGTAGCAAAAGCAAGGCGAAACCCCTCCAGACTTGAGAATTCCAGCCCGTGTGCTGCCACATGGAGCTGGAGGGGGGAGCAGGTGCGCAGTTGGATCCTACATCTTGCGTAGGATACCAAAATCTCGGGGTTTAGAGGAAGGTGAGAGCATTGGGGGAGGACCCACCACGAGAAAAGAAGATGATGATGCCCCACGTGTCTTCCCAGCATGCTGGGTAATGTTGTGCTTGAAGAGGATGTGTCGATATCCATACATTGTGGACTTATAAACAGTTGAAGCAATGAATTTCAGATGTGACCGCCATCTCACTCTCCTTGGCAAGGAGGAAGAACTTAAAAAAGCCTGGTGTAGTAATGTCCAGTGATCAAAAGGTAGCAATCACAAGAGGTGAACTCTTTGCCCTAGCTATGGACATTAAAACTGTGAGATTTTCTCACTGTCTGGCATTTGAAAAACATTTTTTTTTCTCCCTGTGCTTCTGTGCCATGCTGGAACGGGTGTAACTGTGCTCCTGTAATTGCCCCGAGGAGCAGTGCTCATCTGAAGTGCCAACATGCAGCAAGAGGGTTTGAGGACAGGGTAAAAATACATGAAAGTTTCCTCTGATGGCAGAATTTTGCAGACAATAAGAACATTCAGCAAATTACCACTTCTTGGCTTGGAGAGAGTACATCGTTTTCCACTGCTCATGGTGTCTAGAGCATGAGACACATGTTTGTCCAGTTTCTAACATTTCATCACTAGGTATATACAAAATACTTTATTAATACACTCCTAAACTTTTAACAATAAACACTGTAATCTTCTTGACAGTACACTTACCACAATAAAACTAATTTTCTTATGATACACATCTAAATTCATGTACTTCGTGGGGAGCGAGGTAATATATGTGCAATGGAACCACTTTAAATTGGCATCTTGACTTCTGCTATTGCCAACTCAAATCATGTCAGACTCCCAGAATGCTGAGGCTGACTGGAAAGATACTAGTTTAAAAACCAAAGGCATTCTCTGTTTCTTTTATTTGCCATTTGGTTTTGAGCCTTCATGGTGTACTTTACTCGGGTTTAGACTTTTTACTGCGATTGTAAGGACTGTAACTTTTTTTTAGTAAGGCTTTGGTGTCTTACATGATTTCAGGATGTATGTAACTTAATATCACAACACTCATCATAAGACCCCTGGTCTCTCTTACCTTTGAAAGAGGAAGGAGCTGAAAGTACCTTTTAAGCTGCTTTAAGAAATTAAGGTAGTGTAAGTTCTTAAGAAGCTTTAAGCACTTGATGTGGACTGATGCCCACTGACATCCATTCAAAGGTTGTCTCTTTCTTCACAGAATGCAGACTTCAAGCATCTATAACTTTTCATTTCTGTAGGGTTTTGCCCTCTGTATGCGTATGCTCCATACTGAGCATTGCATGCTGAGCTTCACAGTTAACCCTTCTGATGCATGGGAGGGACACTGTAGCTATATTATTTTAATTTTTCTTCAGGAAGCTGTTTTTGAGAACTGTGCTTTAATTCAAGACAGCTGAATTGTGTTTTGTTAAACTTTTGAAATAGTGAAATAATGCTCTCAGGGAAAATACCGAGCCTGTGAGATTTTTGGCACTGAAGATTAATATACTAAAGATCAGTCTGTAAAATGGACTGTTGTCCTCTCTGCCTTACACCTGACCACTCAGATGTCTGCTGTGTGAGTGACTGCTGGCCATCATGATGTAATACCCTTTCATGAAGGTGTAGATGATACCAATGGAGTTTGCATACTGTATTGTCAGTGGAAGCAGAGGTTCTAGCTAACAAAAAAATATACTAGTTTAGAAAATGTATTTTCACCAGTAAGAAGAGGTTTCTCGAATGGAAGAGGACTTGACTTAATTTGTTTAAGCCCATTTAGGTGTTACTAAGTGTGAATCTGGAGTAACACAGTGGTAAGAACTGGTCTGTAAGTAAGTCAGACAGTGCAGGAAGGGGGGTTGTTCAAGGTGCCCAGTGTTTTATGTTTTGAAACATTCTGCAACAGAACAGAGCAATAGTGAAATGTTACCTTTCTCTGCTGAATACAGCATCTGTAGTGTATGTTAGCATGAATCCCGCACATGTTGTGTGACTTCCTCTGTAGGACAGAGTATGTTGTGGGACTTCCAGAGGCAATGCTGGAAACAAAGCCAGGGCTTTTCAGGCTTTGAGGGTTTGAATTGCTGGAGTAAACCGAAATGACTCTGGGCGCATTTTCAATGCGCTATTACTTTCCTACATGTATTAACACTCATTAGACTGTTCGCCTTGGTCTGCCCTGGTTTGCCTAGAAGGTTCATACTTTAGTCTTTCAGTTATTCACTGTGGTTACACCTGAAATACCTTTGTCTTTTTACTACCTCAGACCATTACATACTGGAACAATAGTTATTTTGCAATTAGAATTATTGCTATGTAATTCTGTCCCGAAGGAAGGAAAAATGAACCAAACATGTGAAGTCCAATACTGAAGGAAACATGGCAAAAGAGCCAACTGGTTCTCTTTAAGAGGTACGCTGCAGATAAAAGAAGAAATATTGCCTTACGGGCCTAGACTAGAACTCAGGAGAACATGTTTTTTTTGTCTCAGTTCAGTGATAAACTTCTTTGGTCTTTGACAAATACCTTAGAACGCATTTCTTGTGTTGAAATCATCAGGGATTAGGTGCTTGAGTACCTTGGCCTCTTTTCATCCTCTCGCCGCATGGAAGTGGGCCAAGCCTGAGATGCTGCTACTTATCAGCTCACTGTGCCAGTGTTGGTGAGTCCGTGGTTTGTGCTGCAGTCATGGTGGCGTGAGCTGGTTTTAAGAAAGAGCTTGAGTCATGACCTGAGCCATAAATCTTATCATCACAAAACAGTACTGACTAATTTGCACCATTATGATTTCTGAATTGTACTGAAGCTGTTCAGAAGACCTGCTTGCCTTTTTTTTTATCTTTGCCTTTCAAATTGTTTGGGAGAAAGGTGTATCTCTCCTTAGTTTTTTGAAAGCCTGGTTTATCAACATGAAAGAGTGATTCTGGGCTGGGCTTGAAAAATTCTCAATGCTAGGATCCTTCAAAAATATTCTGCAATGGCAAACATGCTTTGAGGGTGTCCTGGTTTCGGCTGGGATAGAGCTAATTTTCTTCATAGTAGCTAGCACAGTGCTGTGTTTTGGATTTAGTACCAGAAGAATGTTGATAACACACTGATGTTTTCAGCTGTTGCCAAGTAGTGCTCAGATTACTCAAGGACTTTTTGAGCTTCTCCTGCTTGCCCAGGTGCATAACAAGCTGGGAGTACAGCACAGCTAGCACATGAGGGTTACTTTTCAACACTGTTACAGTGCAAGTTCTGTCATTTGGAATATACTGATGGCTTTGTGTTTGTTCTGTCTTTTACAGGGCATTTGGATGGAAGACAGGAACCTGCTCACCCAAACAGGTAAGGAACAAAGATGGAAAACATTATAGACTGAATAAAAATGCCCGATGAATGGTGTGCCTCTAATTTTGCTGCTTGCTGTGTTTTATACAGTCTTAAGACAGAGGGCAAATGTGCCACTACTTGGATCAGCTGGAAAGGCAGAGTCTCTGAGAAGCTGCAGTTGCTAAGGGTCATTACACATTAGGCTGCTTCTTAAGACAAAACTAAATTTGTGCATAGCATCTACTTTTGTGTAACTTTTTTATCAAACAAGTCTTGGTTATATTTTAGGCTCTGTTTATGGAGATTTCTTGTGGCAGTGTATTTATGCTTTATGCAGTTGTTTCAGACAACACTGTGATTTTATTTTATTAAAAATGACAAGTGTTATATTGACTTGAATATCTGGGTTCCATTCAATGCATATTTTCCATCATTGAAAAGATAAAAGCTATTCTCAAATTAAAAAGAACCACTGCTGTATTGTCACTTGCCTATGTTATAAAGATAAAATATTTGGGAGTAGGACACAGAAATATTTTCTGCACCCCAGGGCGCAGAGTGCAGTTGAAGGATTTGATCTTAGCAGATGAGGGCAGAACTTAGAATTCTTTCCGTATCTGCTGTTCCTGTGGTTTTGAAGAGTGAGTTTTGTTGGGCTGTGGACACAACTAGCTGGCACTAGGGGAGATAAGGGATATTCTACTATGAGAGGCTTGAGGTGAACAGAGAGGCTGAGAATTGCCTGGCCAGGATGTTGTAGACTCCAGTCAGGCGCGGGGTGAGGCAGTGCTGCTCAGCATTGCAGTGACTATCAAACCAGTGCCAGGTAGAGAGACACCAACCAATCCAGCCAGACTGCGAAGACAAATAAAAGGGTATACTTTTATTAAGTCCATTATGTTTTTAACTTTAAAGCTAGTCTCATGCTATTGTGGAGGCTGCCACAGTTTACTGGAAAACTTAAAATAATAGAGGTATAATAAATGTCTTTGAGCATTGTCTGAGAGTCTGATTCCATCTGACAGAAAAATGTGCTACAAGAACAGTAATTTCTACTGGCCTCAATTTTTACTTTTAGGTCTCAAGTAATTGGTCAAACCTGCCACATTTTCTTTTTTTTTTTAATTATTTTTCTTTCCAGTGAATCAAACATTTGGAAGAATTTCAGCCATACCCTGTTTGGAGGGGATGACGATTGCCTATATTGACAATACATTTGCTTTACGTATCTGTGGGTGACAAGGATTGCTGTCCTCTCATTTGCATGATCAGCGGGGACATTATCTTCCAAATACTCCAAGCTGTAGTGTAAGAAGTACTGCAGCAGCTTAAATGAAGGCATTGTCAAATTAGTCTCCAAAGCATCAACTTAGCCCTGTGAAAAGCTCCAAATTAAGACTCCTTTTGTAAGGAGATTTGTATGGTTGGGTCTTCTTATGTAATGATGTTAGGCTAATCTAATGTAATCTACTAAAGCCTATACAGTTCTTGTATTTAAACTATAGGCCAGACAGGAGGACCTTTCCTGAAAAAAAGAGCACTACCATGGCCCCATGATTCAGATGAGTCTTAAAAAATAAAAGCTTTGCTTACTTTAGGATTTTCAAAGGAGAAACCATTTATAACATAAGTAGAAATAAGGCCATAAACTGGCAAATTTAGCTCTGTTCTCCCATAGAAATAAAAAGTGTGCTATGGCAGGCTTAATGCTTTTAAGTGTATATACCCAGTTCTCTGCAGAGCTGTGAGGGCTCTGTGTATAGAAGCAGGAGGAGCTGTTGAATGTGAAGCCTGACCAAGTCACGAGACAGCATGTTCACGATTCATAGACCTACAGGCCATCTTCTTCACTGAGAGGAAATCACTGCTGCTGGTGGTAGCACCCATGGGATGTTTCTGTCAGTGGAGAGGTAGGATTCCTCCCTGCAGAGAGCTTATGCTAGTTTTGCTGCCTGTTGCATCAAGTTTTCAAGACGTTTGTAACCAAGTAATCGCCTGTCTGGTAGTTTTAGAACCAGGTTTTAATAGCCCAGCTTCATTGTCTGCTTGTTTTTACATAAGACTTTAGGAACACGTCGAGTGTTACATCAGAGCAGATTAGGGGTTAGCACTGTTTCTGACAATGATCAGTGCTGGATGCTTTGCAGACACCAAAAACTGCCCAGGATGAGCTTATTATCCTAAAGCATGAAGTCTCAGAGCACTAAGAACACCTAATCCAAACTACTAGCATTGCAGATGTTTTTCGTGTGCTCCTAGGATATTCCTCTAAGCCTTTTTTTTAAATTATATTAAGCTCTTTGCCTTAATCAAACTCCAAGCAGAAAACTAAATAAGTACATTAGAGTGTACTTTCTAAGTTTCTTCTTTTGCCTGATGAATTTGACCAAACCAAAGTCCCAGAGCTTCTTCATTCGGGGGCTTACAGATATGTGATACAAATGACTGAGGAAACTTTTCTGTAGTAAATGTGTGATGTACTCATTGCTAAGTTGTAGTTTATAGTGTTTTGGGGTTTTTTGTTTTTTTTGTTTGTGCCGCTTTTTTTTGTTTGTTGGTTTGGTTTGGTTTGGTTGGTTTTTTTTTTCCCCAGAAAGAACAAGTTCAGTTTTCACATATCTTTTTTGGGGCATGACTAATCCCCTGTTTTCAGTAATTGTTGCTCTTTTCCAGCCTTTTTTGCTTTTCATTACTTAGGAAATGTGCTGAACACAACTAAATGCAAGATACACTAGGATTATGAAATAACATAATATTCTGTCTTCTCTGCAGCTTAACATTAATCTCTCCTGAATGGTGTTAGAAGCAGAGCAAAAGGCAGGAGTCTGCACTTACGTTGAAATCATTTCTCCAGGAGGTAACAACTATTTTAAAACCCATTTGCGGCTGAGTTGTCTTCAACAGTTCTTTACAGCATGTTCCTTCATATTTCACTTTTAAATTTCATCTGTTATTATGCTACTCAGTTACTTTTGTACTAAATTCTCTAGATACTTTCCTGTACTCTTCTTGTGCCCTAATAAATGCATTAATCACCTCTGTTTTAAGAGCCAAAAGTCTGATTATTTCTGAGATGTATGAAGGTGGGATAGAAAGTGAGTATACTCTCCTAATGGAAAGTAAACTCTCTGACTCCTGTCGCCTCATCTTCCTTATATCCTTCCTCTTGGTAGCCACTGAGCCCTTTGTGCTCTGAATACTTGCACAGAAAATAGTGCGCTGCTGGGGCACTGTCCCCTGACTGTCTTTCTGAAGATCTCACACATTAATAAAGTAATCAGGGATTTATGTTTCTGCCATGATTCTTTTCCAGTATCTCTTCCTGTAAAGGAAAGTCCAGTGGATAATAACTAGCTGGAAGCATGGGTTCTGTCTGAGCCATTCATTCAGTGTATGATCCTGGCAGTCTCCTGAACTCTGGCAATTTGCTTGAAGGGAGAGGGGAATATAGCTGATCTCTTAATGGGACAGCTTAGAAGACCACAGTGGAAAAACTCTCAATGACAAATATAGTGGCATTTTGCTCCCTCTTCAGGTCGTCTCTGAGAAACAACTGAATAATCCCTCATTTAATTAAGCAGTTAAAAAAACCCCACTGAATGCCCACGTGCTGTTTCTGCTTCTCTAATCCCCACTTGGCTGCAGCTCCTTAAGATATTCATTGAATCAATATTAGCTATGTTCCTGAATTCTGGGTAGCAGCAATATTAATCTGTCAGCGCACAGAAAATAGCAATTCAAGCTTATTCCTTGCATTCTGTTTGCAAGGCCAGTTGCTAATCCATGAGATAGCTTTCCACTAAAGTTTCCTTTGCTGCTTTCTTATTTCCAAAGGCTTTACAAGATTTAAGATGTTTAAATATATTGCATTTGGGGACTTTTTTGTTTGGTTGGGTTTTGTTCATGCTTTTCAGGAATCCTAAACAGCTCGGTAAGCACAACACGGTGGCAGAGCTGTTGTGTCCCTATCTCTTGCTCTTAACTATTTTTATAACCACCAAGTTAATGCCTGCTATTAATCCTTAGCTACTATATTGACCACTTGCAGCCATCTAGGGCTAACTCCTAATAACAGATTACATGTTTTCTGTAGCTTACCTGCTTCATTCTAAAGCACCTTCAAAGCCCTGCAGGGATTGCTGTATCCCATTCTCCCTCTACTAGTCTTCACTGCAGTTTAAATGCAGTCTCTACGGCCTTTCCCGTTCTCTTAAATATTGTCTTAGACAATGAGTAAAAAAGGAAAGAGAAGAGTCTGAAGTGCAAGCCACAGTAGGTCTGACATAGGAATGTAGGCTTGGAGGTCATGGTCAACCTTAGAGCATGGAGGCTTTGGGAATGTGCTGTGCACAAAGAGACTCCACAGCTCATGAGCATCATGTTTGTCCCTGTGCATGCATGGTAGTGCTGACATTATTGGCGTTTTGACTCCCTGCAGAGTAGCAGAGGGTCCTTTTGACCTGGAAGCATGGTACTTGTGAGGGCCTGCAAAGGGCCTTACTGGGTCACTAAGTACGATCCCCAGCTGTTGCTGGCAACCATGTCATAGCTCCTTTCATAAACTGGCCAGGTCAGTTCTGAAGCAGCCTGTTTTCTGATCCTTTCCTCATCTATTGAAGAGCTATTCCTGGACCTCCCTGCTGTGACTGTTAAGAATCTTGTGATTCCCAGCCTAAGTTTATTCCCAGTCAGACTGGAATGCTCATTTGTGAATCCATTTGGCCTTTAATGAACCAGCTCTTTCCATAACCAGTATTTATCCCACTAATATGTTTCTCAAGAAAAGTCATGTTTTCACAGCCTCTAGTCCAAGACAAGGTCTTCTAGTCTTCTCGAATAGGCTGCACATGTCCTGGGATACCCTGGCAGCTCTTCTTTTTACTGTTTGAATTTATTGTGGTTCTCTAGGAAAGGACAGACAGTTTGTATTGAGGTACTTTTTATTTGTCACTCTATTTTTAAAGGACCAAGGAATGTGTCAGTTAAAGAAATAAAAAGCACCAGAACCATAGAATTTGTGTCTGTTTCCCTCAGTAATGTTATCTCTGAGGTCTTTTGTCTTTCCTCTTATGGAATCATGAAAACATTTTTGTGCTGCTGTCTTAGAGAAGGAATGCTGCAGCTCCAGCAGAGCTGTCTGGTGCCAAGGAACCTCAGAGCTAGGGATCCATTCAGGCAGTGCCGTGTCTCTTGGCCCATCCTCTGGTCTCCACACAGGCTGACATGCTTCTTGATGCCAAAGCTTGTGCAATAAAATTCTACTTTCTTCACTTATTACATCCAGTGGTAAGCCTGGCTTACTTAGACTAACTGGGTTTTCCCATGTTGTATGTTGATCCAAATGTCTGGGCTTGAAGTCTTTGCAGGAAAGGGAACATGCAGATTTTGGAAGGGACTCAAGTTCAGGCCTTCCTGAAAGCTGCCCCCCTGTACAATGCTTCTGTTTGCAATGTGTCAGAGATTTTCTGAAGTTTGTTTATTGGTGGCCTTGTATCCAGATAATGAACTTTCTGGTGGCATGTCTGAGACAGAGTGGCCTGGTCTTGGCTGACATCCCATTTCTGGTCTGTGCTTTCTGTCAATTTACGCTGCTGACCTAGACTGGCCACTGAGTAGCTGGCTACAACTGTAGGAACCCTGACTAAAGGCAGAGGCGTCTGAACACTGGAGGAGTACTGTTCGTGCAGAATTGATCCATGGGGAGGTTGACCTTGAAGTAAACATGCAGTGCACCCTTCAAGAGGTCTTACTTGTGAGAGACTAGGCAGAAATGTTTCTATATGGAGGAAGTAACAGGATTTACACTAACAGCTAAGTCTCTTATTTTAGCAGGCACTGCTTATTTCAGGAGACCATTCTCTGGGGTCTTCCAGGCAAAGGGAAGCAGCCCAGACATTCCTTACTGCCCTGCCACATAGGGAGCTTAGAGTCAGTCTTTATGCTTTGGAAAAGAAAATATTCTGCTCCACCCCAATGCATGAGATATAAATAGGTATAGATGTCTTGTGCTCTCTTCTCCTTTCTTTTATAAGCATCTGTCTTCCTATTTGTGGTCTCATAAGCAGTATGATAGTATAAATGGTGACTTGCATTAGTGTGATTTTAACTTTTAGAAACTGTTGCAGGTGGGACTGAGGATGCTCACTGGCATGTGGCTTTTTAGCTTTCTCAACCCCAGTTTGACCCACTGCTTGAATACTGTTAACCTGTATTAATAATTTGTACCGTTGAAGCTTCAGATACTGGTGCAGGGTCAAAGCTGCATTGTATACGAACTGTTCAAACATAAACTGCATTTGAGTCCTATAGCCAGAGACTGTGCTGAACAGTCTGAGTATTTGATATTTAAGGTATGTATACTTTAAGTGGAATAATGTTCACATAAATCGCCATGGCCCAGGGTAGGCCTCTGCCAATCACACTTTGGAAGCTAGAGGGCAATAAAACTGCTCAGTTTTGAATTAATGTAAGCTGCTAGTTTGGATTTTCATTTCTAGAGACAAGATGTTGAAAGGGTTCTTTAAAGTGTTCATCATCATAAAGCGAAACATTTGTTTCTTCATCACACTGGAGAAAAAGCTAGACAACTTTTCCATTTCAGATACAGGGATTCAGTTATCAGAAAGTTGTAAATGCCATTTCAAAAGGGATTTCCTTGCTTGGATTTTTTTTTAATCCAATAGAAAAAAAGCAGGACATTTTGGGGACTTTTTATCCAGGGCCATTTTTGGACTGTAAGAAAATGACAGCATCTTACTTAGTTGCCCTGCTTCTTGTACATCTGTGCAGTCTGAACCCAGCAGTGCTGTAAAGCCAACAGTGCTGTGGAAGGGTGGGCAGGAATCTATTCCTTCTGTTTTACCTGCAAAATTGCTTAGTCACTTAGAATAAATTAGACGTGTGTATGCACTCTGCATAACAACGTGCAGGTGTCACTGAATGGCTTAAGCCATTACAGGTAATGATGCATTAGCAAAAAGCAGCTTCACTTGCTATGCTTATATATTGTGTTATGCATTGTTTTGCATATGTAGCATTTAATACAAATAGTATCTTTTCACTTTTATACAGGCCACATAGAATATAAAAATTCTTGAAGACAATAAACATGGAGTTTTACAGTATAGTTCTATACATTCTTTACAGTAAATCTTTGCATTGAAATAGAATCTGATGTTACTGATGCAGCCTTAAGGAAGAAAGGCAAAACACTTAAGCAAATGATGGAGGATGAACCAGAGAAACTCTGCCAAACTTAAACTGGTATAGTTAGTAAGGAGGCAATAGTCTGCAGAGGTAATAGGTCACTTATCAAATACCCAGTGTGCAATGCAGTAAGTTGATGAGTTCAGTGGGGTTGTCCTGATTAACACCAGCTGAATGTCTAGTCAGTATGTTTCAGTCTCTGCAGTGCTGCTCCATTCACATGAGAGCTGCCAACTCGTTTTATGGAGACTGTTAGTCATACTTCTCAAGGCAAAAGGTCGTTTGAATTGCTGTCATGTGTTGGTTTTTAAATGATAAGATAAAAAGTAAGCAGATAATCACAGTAGCTTTCCCCCCTGCAAGCCCTGAACAAGTCATTAATCCATTACAGAAGTTCTGTCAACCAGCTGTGTCAGGACTGATTTAGCATACTGAACTTTTGCCTCTGTTTTAGAGCAAGCCTTGCCCTGCGCTTAACTATTACCAAAGGGAAGGCTTACTTCTGCTAGCTGAATCTGGTAATACTCTTGCCAGTATTACTTGTGGTGGAAGCATAAGATTCTTAGTAAATGTGGTACTTACTAGTTCCCTGTCTTCACCTAGTTCTCCAAATAATCTGCCAACTGCTTTCATGTAATAGTTATTCAGGATAAGGGGATTCACAGGGCCTCTTCCTTAATGGAGACATATTTTATTGTCACACATTTCTATTGGTAAGGAAAATCAGAATTAGTGCACAGTCCCCCTGAAAACCCTCAGATAATGTACAGGTTTTGTGGCCTTTGTTACTAAATGACAAAAAAATTAATTTCTTCAAGATATGTAAGGGCTAATACTTTGTGGTCTTTCATTGCTATCCCAAGTAAATTACTTTAACAAAAAATGCTTACCTGTCCTGACTGTATGTTGTGATCCCCAGAGCCCTTTCAGTGTTTTGTAGCGTATTGGTTGTTCTTGGAGAGCAGTTTTGTTCTAGCTCTTTAAAAGTGGAGTTGGGGGCCACTGGCTTTGGTGGATTTGGATAGTATATTTGACCCTTCAGCGAACTTAGGAACCTGAAGAATAAGAAGTAGTAGGTAAGGTGTAAACCAAATATGTGTGCTGGATGGAGAAGACTATTTTAAAGGTTTGAAACAACATGTGCTGTGTTGCCTTCCCCTCTGCCAATTATCTGTTTAGTAAATGCTAATAAAGTAAAAATGTCGTGGAAAAATGTCTTCAGTGCAGTATTACTACTTAAGTGGAATATTCAACAGGTACATAATTCAGCTGAACTCAGTTCAAATAATTTGGAATCAACTTCTCCATGGTAGCCATACCTAGTCAGAACATTACATGCTATATAAGCTTTCTTTTGTAGTCGCAATTATAGACTACCATAAAATGGACTGCTGCTTATTGCTTCCCTTGCCTCATCTGTAAGACTGTGTGTCATAAAGGCTGCATCTTTCTTTGTTCACCACTATTTTTTCCTACACTATTCCTGACTTTAATCTGTCATCAAACTTCAGGCTACATCCCTTTGGGAAGAGAACTAGTGTTTAGCCAAGCTGAAGAATAGTAGAAACATGATAATTCGCGAACAAATTCACTCCTCTGTTTTATGGACCAGTCCAGTCTCTATCATTACACTGGGGAAAGCAAGGTTGGAGTCAAACACCATCCACAAAGAGGACGTCTATTGTCTTGAAGACATGGAAATAGAGACACCAGCCTGTCAGTATTGTGGCAGGACTTGCAGAGAGGTAAGGAGGAGCAAAGATCTACTGCTGCCCAAACCCAGTTCTTTGAATTACGCTGCAGAGCGTAATTTGGACTTCTGAATGAAGCCCCCCTTCCACAAATGCATGGTCAGCAGCTATTATTGCTTCTTGTTCTTATCTCCAGACCTACTTGGCTAGGTCCTATGAGAGCTAGTTAGTACTTAAAGGACTTCAGTCACAGGACAGCCTGCTAGCTTCTGATCTTGTTTATGTATTATTGAGGTGGCTGAAAACTGTCTCTAAAGCTTTTCACTCTTTCTATGTGTGATGCCTAATTCACGGTCTGCAAGTGTTTGGAACAGTACAGGAGCTCTCTGTGTAAAAATGTCTCACATGAAAGAGATGCAGAGAAGTTTAATTAAAAAAGAAGGAATTTCGCTCTTTTCTGTATGAACTACATACTTGGAAGTACATGTGCTGTCCCAGCCAGTGCACAGCTGCTTTCTGCGAGTCAGAGGGAGTACTGACAACTTTATGCCTATATGGATTACCTATAGGGGAAATATTTAACGTGTTCTAATGGAACACCATTGATCAGAAAGACAGATGGATCTGCATTTCATAAAGACGGCTATGCTGGTGGAAGAGGTTCTTTCTGTGAGCTGCTGCTAATGTCTCTTCTATCTTGGGAGGCTGACCTCATGGATCTGCAGAAAGAACTCATCTTCACTCTTTCAGTACAAAATCAGGTTAGATCAGATCACCCATTTAATCAGCATAAGTTAACCCAGCTGTCTTTTTGGAAGCACTCAGTGTGATTATGGGCATTACCAGATCTGCAAGGCTAGTTGTCTCAGGCAGAGAGGTGGTTACAAGCAGCTGAGGGCTGGATCTTATACCAAATAAAGCTGCCTCTGCAGAGCAGAAGGCCATCTGCCCATGACTGATTGCAAGAGCTCTGGTTTGATTCACACACTGGCAGGGAAGATTCTTACTGCATTTTCTGTACATGATTTTTCAGAACAGCAACAACAAACAATAAAGCTTGATGAATTGTGAAGCTGGCTCTGTACTCGTAATGTCACCATCAGAGGAATAACTGAGTGCTACTAGTTGTCTTATAAAATGAAACTGCAGTGCATGCTTGGAAGAGCTTAATTTCCAACCCTGGTTCTATCACTGCTTTTTCCTCTCTGGTCTTTCTGCCTCAGTTTCCCTATTTACCTCACAATGATGCTGTCAGCATTAACTACATAATAGCTTCTCTGAGTTTTGTAAAGATAAGATGTGGAAAAGACACAAAGCTTTTAAATACAACCTTCCAATGGTAAAAGTCACCCGAGTGTGGTCTGGTTTATTGGTATTTAACCAGAGATTTCTCCTTCAGTCACTGAGGACTGATCACTGAGTCACTGAGTGTCCTGATCTCAGGGGAAGTCAAACCATATGAAGGGAACAGCAAGTAAAGTATTTTCTAAGTGCTAGTGGTAGTTGCCCCCTTAGCTAGTAATTCTGAGCCTGCTAAGCTTTGCTGGAAATAGGTCTTGGCCTCCAATGATCCTCCTGTTGTGCAAAAATAGGCTTAGTAAGCCCACCTCCACATATGATTAGTGTTTCTTAAGGTGACCAATGACCAGTGAAAATCGACTAAAAATGACTACTCCTAGCTTTACACGTTCTGTGGAAAGATTTTGGGATTGGATGGACAGATACTCCACTAAAAATGGCTCGTGTACCCAATTATATACATTACTGTACAGCATTGTGCCAATGACTGGGAATGGTAGCTAATTAGTGCAAATTGAACTCCCACTTAACATCATGAGCTTTTACTCTGCTGAAAAGCTTCTTATCCATGCCAATGTACACTTTTTTCTGTTTCACACAGTTATTGCCAAACCCTTCGTGGCAAGCACTGCCATGGCACACAGAGGTGCTGGCTTTCTCCTGTCCCAAATTCCCCATAACCCTGTGTGGTCAGCAGCTGACAAGGACTCCTCATCGGTTCATGCAGGTCATCTTTAAACTCTTCCAAAATGAAGTACCTCTCAAAATCCTAATGTAGTAGAATAGCTCCAGGGAAGAGCAGAGTAAGAACAAAAATTTCATGCCCTTTTCCTCCAATATATTATGTAAAACACTCTCAGGGTAAAACACTGCTGGGGTTAAAACCAAACACGTCATGATGGCTTACATGGTGTTCTATAAATAACAAATTGTCTAGGGCCTCTTCTCGGTCTTCATGAGGGATAAGAAGAGTTGCTTTTTCTCCCTGGACCTTGTTCTACCATCTGTGCAGTGATAAAATATTTTAAATCATTCAGCTCTCATTTCAGGGATACCTCTGTTGTCCTCAGCAAAGGTATGGCAGGCATGACTTTGGCCCCAAGATTGCTAGTTTTTGATCCCACTGATGCATTTTTTTCCTTTCTCTTCCACTCTACTGGAATGTGAAGAATTGTTTGTCTGACAGAAGATATCAGATACACTAAATGATCCATATTGCTTTTGCGGGAATTAGCAGCTACGTTAATAGCTCTGTTGGCTTCTGAGGCTACAAGGTGTTCACGAGTCGGGTTTATTCATCATTCTCAGTGCTTAAGTATCCTCCAGCAACTATCAGCACATAAAGCTCTGATTTAAGCCAAGATGCTTAGCTTGACCACTGATATATTCAGATTCTGGCTCTGTTAAGTAGTGTTTCTAAGTAAGTTTCAAGAATAAATGGTAAACCTACAGAGTGTGGTCCTACCTCTGGTCTTCCTCAGAACAACCCCATCAAAAGCCTTGGTAGGGATATTGGGATGGAAAGGCTGATGACTGCCTGCATCAATCCCAGTGTCTCGATCCTCAGGTGATTTGAAGTTTGGGAAGATGGCCTACTGAGAAATGTGTGTCTGGTAGGGATGAGAGGTGGGAAATGGCAGGCACAGTGGTCTTGGATTGGTTTGAGTTGGCAGGGAGGAGGACAGAGAGAAAGAAAATTTCCTTATTTTGCATTTCATGGAGTTTTAGCATTAAATATAACACTTTGCAAGAACTGAGAGAGATGTGAGAATCAGAAAGGCTGTATCTTTAATCCTCTCTTGCTTGCACCCTGCAAAGAATTCACACTGATGATTCCCTTGCAGCTTTTGTAGATAATCAGTCATATCGATTCACATTCACTTTTATGTGGCATGAGGGAAGGAAAATGACTTCTAATTCTTGCACAGTTCCAATTAACAGTAACAGAATTTGTGCTTGTGGAATAAAAATTTGCCTCTAGGAAGACATTTATTTCTGGGAGAAAGGAGGATAAAGCTAAACTGGAGAGTTTGATGGGATACCGAGAACCAGGATTTCCTGGAGTGCCCACGTTCTTGTGGCTGTTCTTTTCAGCTTTCAGTTTTTCATGATCGAATAATTCAAACTTACTAAAATCAGGGGTATCCTGAAATCTGAGGAAAATGAAAACAGCAGTTTATTCCAGTAAGAGAGACTAGCACCCTGTTTGGATTCTTCTAAACTTTACCACAGCTGCGTACAGCAGCTTACTGAGAGCAAACGCCTTTCCCCAGTTGCTGTATAAAGTCAAGTCACAACCTTATACAGGAGCCAAATTAATTTCATTCCTGAGGCTGTGCATCATGATGTAATGAGATGTCTTACCAAGCTGGGCTTTTCTGAGGCTTCTCTCTCATAAATCTGCTTAATGCACAGTTTAGATCCTTTAGCTATGCTTGGTAGATGCTCCCAAACACTTTAATTCACATTGGGTAAAGAGGCCATGAACAACATGGCCCAGAAAACCCAATTAGCCCATAGGCAAGTCAGAAAGATCAGTATTTGTTAGGAGAGTGGGTGTGCTAGGCAAACACCGCTAAGCTGCTAAACCTGTCTTTCAATGCTTCATGAGAGAGAGAGTTTTTTGCCTAGTAGCGTTGCTGCTGCTTATTGCCAAGGAACCTGTACTGTGCAATTATGGCTGTGAGAGGAACAACTTCCTTTTTATTTCATTAAGGAAAGATAAGATATAATATAGGTGAAATGTACATACTTAGCCAAACTGTCTGGTGGTTTACGAAGCCGGTATTAGGGAAGAAAAATAATAATTAAGTTACCTGAAGTGACCCACGTTCATTTGCACCTCCCACATTTATCTGAATCAGTGCAATCAATATACATTAGGGACAAATCAATGTGTAAGCAGTGCAGACAATGTTCTTACTGATACCACTCATTCCATGAGGAATGTTTTGTGTTGCCAGGTGCCCAAGACTGAAAAGGCACCGGGAACAAGTGATGTGCAGAATGTCTTTTTTAAAGGACTGAGGGAGAAATCTATCCTCTTACATTTTTGTGTAATAAGCTCTATATTAATTAACAATGGTATGTGCTATTAGTAAAAACAGATCCTTTTATCAGTAATGCAAAACAGAAAACATACCCTGTTTCTACTTGCAGAGAAAAATACTTATTCATTCCATGCTGATAAATTATTTATATTTTACCATGGAGACTTATTTTATGCAATCAAAAGAAAACACTAACTTTAAAGGGCAAGAATTTAATCACTGAGGCTAGCTAAGAGTCTCTTGGCAATTGTACCAAGTCAGAAAAATGCCTAAGATTAAAAAATAAATTAATTTGCTTAATGGTTCTTTGTGGTGTAATGACAAAAAAAAGATGTCTGAAAGACAATATTACTGGGCTAAACTAAGTTGTTCACCTGGAACTCCAAAATCTCATGTATTTCATGAGGAAGGCTTAATTACCAGGTCTTGCTTGGAAGGGTCTTTACTGTATATGGTTAGGGGAAATTGTCCAATGATAGTCTTTTATTAACCTTTATTTGTACAGTGATCACATGAAGTTTCTTGATTCTACAAGCCAATACCAAAATCTTCATATTGCCAACCCCCCTCGTTTTTCTCAGTGAGGAGAGGGATGTCCCAGATGCATTCCCAAACAGGAGATGGTGATAACTTCTCAGGGCTCCTCCCCTTGCTCAGTTTGAGGACAGAGCCATGTGGAATGTTAATGGCCCCCACAGGGACTCCATCATTTTGGCCATAGCAGTTCCTCTGGGAACTCTCTTACTCCCACAGCTGGGGATTACTCATGAGCCTGGTTAATGACATAGCAGTGGCATGGGAGCTGCACCCAAACTCTGTTCAAGTCACTTGTGACTCAAGAGCTGCGACTCGGCTATTCCATCATTGAATTAGTCTCCGTAAAAACGGGTGTTGCACAGTTACACAGAGGAAATACGCCCCCTTGCTCAAAGAATTTAAACAGAGTCCTATGCTTATTTCTTTCCATACTGGCATGGATGTTTTGAAGATAAACTTCAAATGCCAGATCAATTTTGTTCACACGTTCTGATACAACATGCACAAGTCATGCATTTCATTGTGAAATTTGTGCTGTGATGCCATGGGAATCACTGCAATCAACATGAGGTGTAATATCTCACAAGTTACTGTGACAGCGTAAGTCATGCCTCAACGGAGCTGAACAAAAGATCTGCTTTTAATGTGCGATGCTACAAAGATAACAGGACTTGATCAAAGTGTTGGAGTCTGACGACCATTTGTATATTGTTACATTTATAACGAGCTGCGATGCTGGTTCAAACTTTGTCTTCAAAACGGAAAGCTTTTATAGACTTGCAGAACAGCAATCTTTAAAAGTTTATTCCACAGATGCTTCTAATTGATTTTCCATTTCTACAGTTAGAACTGGTGCTGTATGTCGACTGGTGCTGTAAACATGGAGGAAAATACTTCTTAGTACAATTGTAATGCTGTAACACAATGTGAATTGAAAACAAACCCTAAGAAGTATTTTCAATTTCCATTTCCATCCACATTGTGAATTGTTACATTCCTCCTTGCATTCGTTGGATATATTCCTGGTACAAATACGCAAAAATAAGGACAGTCAGTCTGCGTTGTGCTCTGGCATGGCAGAACTACTTCAGAACCTTTGTAGAGCACTTTTCATTATAACATCTAAACTTAAGGCAAAGAGAAAATAAGGATGAACATGCATTTTCATGATCTACCATGATTTAGAGAAGCTTTTTGAGCTCAGGTCGTAACAGCCAGCAAAGCTTTGTATTTTCAAAGGTGGGCAGTTGTTTAGAGTGTTCCTTATGTTTTTAAAACTCCAACTGGGTAATCGAGCCTGAAGGTACCCAGAATGGATGGCAGTATAGAAAGGTAGAGCTCTGGCTGAAAGGAAGAAAGGAATAGCAGCTTTCCCAGATTTGGCACTGAGATGCACTCACTGGAGTTCTAGTAGACTTTTGCTGGAGTCTGCCAGTATCACCAAGAAGCAGTTGCTAAATATTATGTTATCTGTCCCTTTATGTTCAGTTCACAGAGGATATGGAGTCTATCAGTCTCTTGAAAAGAATTCAGACTCAAGCTGGAGGGATTTATACTCCCAGGTTGGAAAGCCCCAGGACAAATCCAGGGCGTGGTCCAGATGGACACCATCCCATTTCCCTAGCAGCAATGACCGCACTGTGGGCACTCACCAAACACTTTTTGATAAAATAGGCATAAACCAAGTTCCACGTGAGAGAGCGTATCCTTATGGAAACGCTGGCTTCGCCTGCGGTAGTTTTGTGGCTCCCCTCCTTGATGTAGTGCTGAGCACTGCGTGCAGGAACACACTTGTTCAGTAATGGTAATAAAAGACACATTGGAACCTGTGTGACCTTCATGAGGAGCTCCCACTTCCCACTATTTTTCTACTCTCTGACACATGGTAGGAGCCTCTGAAGAGCTGTTTCTCTCAGGTGTGTTGGCCTGAGGGTGATGCAGTGTGGGGAGCCTCATGACCTTCAGCTTCTTTTCTAGATCAGGCTAGAGAAATTTTTGCTTCTCTTCCCTATTAATTTCCCACATGCTCCGTAAATTATTATGAGAATAAGATGTATCACTCTTGCCAGTTTTAATAAGAAAGAAATTATGAATGGAGAATAAAACGTTTCATGTGTAAATTGGCTTTCTCTGCAGCCCTTTATTCTTGCAAAGGGAGACAATCCTTTATCTTGCCTAACCTTA